AGGGTCATGCTAAGGCCCTAGCCAGGACTGGGTCGGTCTCCAGGTCTCTTGGACGCCTCTGCTGTCTACAGAAATTCAGTTGAGACCTCACTGGCTTCCCCGGGGCAGTTTGAGGAAGCCCGGAAATCACACTTCTAAAGAAAATATCAAAACAAACCTGTCTTCTACCTGCCCGGATGCATTAGCAGTCACTCACCCCTCACTGTGAAATGGACACTTGGTGACAGTTGGGACGGAACAGGCCCTGGCGGCGTGGGCAGTGAAGGAGAGTGTCTTCGTCCATCTGGGCTGCTATACCTAAAACACCAGAGGCTGGGTGCTTATAAACAACAACAACGTGTTGCTTAAAGCTCCGGAGGCCGGAAGTTCAAGTTCAGGGCGCTGGCAGATTCCGTGTCTGGTTTACAGACTGCTGGCTTTTTGCTGTGTGTCCTCGTGTGGTGAAAGGGGCGAGGGAGCTCTCTGGAGTCTCTTTCAGAAGGGCACTGATTCTATTCCTGAGAGCTCCAACCTGATGGCTTAATCACTCCCCGCCCCCCGCCCCCCAGAGGCCCCACCTGCAAATACACATGGAGGATCAGCTTTCAGCATGTAAATGTTGAGGAGACACATTCGGTCTATGACAAAACAGTAATGCAAGTTCCAAAGTCTTCGATACTGCTGGAGGTGATGAGCCAGGGCTGGCGGACAGAGGAGTGGTAAGGGTTAAGACCTTTTATAATCTGACCCCGCTGTACCTCTCCAGGCTTCCTCTTGTTCTTTCTCGCTTTGTACCCTTCGTTGATGACGCAGGGACCTCTGGCTCTCCAGCCCCTTTGTCTTGGTTCTTGCTGTTCCATCTGCTCACCACCCTCCCGCCCCATCTTCCAAGTCCCATCTCAAATGTCCTTGTGCCTGAGCAGGTACAGCCCCTCCTTTGTATCCTGCTCACTGACGTGTGCTCATTCCACTCACCGCAGGCTCGAGGCCCAGGGTGTTCCCTGCTCCTGTCTGGACACCCTGTGCCGGGCCTGCCGTGTCGGTGGCCCACAAATGTTTGCAGGAAAAAGGGCAGGGGAGGGGCCCCCAAAGCAAACCTCTTACTTGGCAGTTTTGCTGAGAGACTTGGACAGTTCCCAGTCCGCACTCGAGTCGAAATCAGGGCAGCCAGACCCTCCCTTGCAGACGGCCTGCCTCTCGGGGTGCTGGTTTGGGGTCTTGAGTGCTAGCCGGAGGGGAGACCCTGTCTGTGCCGTTCACCTGGAGTCCCCAGTCGCTAGAGCAGCACCTGGCCTGTGGCAGTGCCGATAAACTCCAGCTGGGGGTGGGGGGTAGGGTGCAGGGGGTGGATGGTCATGTGTCAGCACACACTGTTCGGGCTCGTGGGACCCCGTAATGAAGGGTACGCCAGGCCCGCTCTGGGGAGCTGTACCCACTGGGCAAGCAGGGGGTCCTTCATAATGAGAGGTTCGTGCAGGTGGTCAGTGTGGGGCAGCAGGCAGGGGGGATTGTGAGCTGACAGGAAGGAAGCAGGCTCTTTCGGCTGCCGTGAGTCTGCACCTTCTGGGGGTGGAAGACCCTGTGGCCTTGGGGAGGCTGTCCAGGGGACCGGGCAGCCAGGGAGGGTTTCAGCCGAGGGGTCAGGGGACGTGCTCTGCATTATGCGGGCCCAAGGCTTCTGTCGGGTGGATGGAGGGGGTTCAGGAGGCGCTGGGAGGGCAGGGAGGCCTCGCTCACACAGGTAGCTGGACCCAGGTGGCCTCGGAGGAAGTGGTAAGGCGGACGTGGGAACCGGGGCTGGGATCCAAACTACCTTTTCCCAAGGGCTCTGGTGGTGGGTGCCACCTGTTCTCAAGGCCTCAGCTCTGCCCTCCTCAGCTTGTCCCCCGCCCCCAGACCTGGCTCCGCCTCCAGGCCCAGGATCCCCTAGGAGTACAGGTGCCTCATCGATACTGAGCGCTCCCTGTGGGCCGACCCCCTGTAGGAGGGCTTCCTCCTGTGTCTCCGTGGAGCCACTCCACCCGATGAGGGCCGGACCCATTTCACAGATGGGGTGCCTGAGGCTCAGAGTGGGGAGGGACCTGCTCGTGACCATGTGCCTGGCCAGTGGGGGAGCCGACCAGAGGCCCAGTAACATGAAAACTGTGTCATAGGCGGGAATGCACCCCGAACCCCTGGCAGTGGGACCGGCTGGTGAGAGACACCCCCCGAGGGGGTGCTGGGGCCTGCCTTACGGTGAGGAAGAACGGAAAGGGTGCTCCAGGTGCTGAGAGCGTTTGGCACGCTGCAGAGCGAGGGCCAGGGTGGCGGAGGCTGGGGAAGGGGACAGAGCGGTGGTTGAGTACGTGGTGTAGTCGGAGGCTCGGGTCCCGGGCCTGCTACAAGGGCCGGACCTCCGTTAGTCCGTGAGGTGAGCATTATGGCCACGAGTATGCGCTCTGTTGAGGGTTAGCGTTGCCGAGGTGTGTGCCGCCCAGCGAGGCCCTTACCCCTGCGTGCGGCACCCCCTGCAGCGCGGTGTCTGGCTCAGGGCAGCCGGCCGCGTGCGGGTGTCGGTCGGCCCGCAGGCTGGAGCTGGCTGAGGACTCCGGCAGGACACAGGGGCACCTGGTACCGTCCCCAGGCTCCAGGCCGAGGGACCCTGCGCGCTCCTTGGTCTCATGCCGGGCGCTCAGCACGTAGGGCTGGGTTTCGTGCCGCAGACCCTCCGCCCCCGGTGTTGCCGTGGGTACTGCTCCCGAGCACCCATTTCCCCGCACCCTCCGGTGCGAGGGCCCGCGTCCTGTTTCTTCGGGGCTCCTGGTGGCGAGGTGTTGAGTGAGCCTTTCTAGGGCGAGTTCCCGCATGTCAGGCTGGGGGCTCAGGCCCCGGCGTCGGTCAGGCCTGGCTTCACATCCCAGCTCTGCCACCTGCCAACTGTCACCTCCTGGAGCTGTTTAATCTGTGGAGCCTCAACTTCCTAATCTGTGCGGTGGGGGCTAGGACGGTGCCTGCCTCGGGAGGTGTTGGTGGGATTCAGTGGATCACGCGTATTCCGCTCACCTGCGCGCGCTGCTGGCTCCCGCCCCTCTCAGGCCCCTTGCTCCTCCCTGGGAGCGGGGAGGCTGCCGGCCATTGGAGGGGACGCTCTCAGTGCCCTAGAGAGTATGTGGGGTGTGGGGGTCCCACCAGGAGCGCTCTGCAGGCTGGGGGTGGGCCCAGGACCGGATCCTGGCCCTTTGGAAAAGGTAGTGGCTTTGGGGGTTTCTGTTTGCTCACATGGAGGAAAGGCCCGGAAGGCAGAGCGAACAGGAAAAGCCCAAGCACCTTGGAACCTTCCCCAGAAAGAGGGGGCGTCCCGAGCGAGCGAGCGGCCCGTCCTCTAACCTGTGCCTCTCCCCTAGGGCTGCTGCGGGAAGAGGTGTCCCGGCTGCAGGAGGAAGTGCACCTGCTCCGGCAGATGAAGGAGATGCTGACGAAGGACCTGGAGGAGTCGCAGGGCGGCAAGTCCGCCGAGATCCTCTCGGCCACCGAGCTCAGGGTGCAGCTGGCCCAGAAGGAGCAGGAGCTGGCCAGAGCCAAAGAGGCCTTACAGGGTGAGTGACAGGCGGCGTGGCCCCTCCTTCCCTCGCCTGGGGCTGGGGCGCAGGCCACGGGGGCTCTGGGGAACCGGGCTCCAGCCTCTGCGGGGGGAGTGATATGAATATGGGGTCCCAGTGCCCGGACCCCCAGCTGCGGCTGCCCTGTGCCTGTTGGGGTGGGAAGCTGCCTCTTGCAGGACTGGGCACATATGTCACCCCTTCCTCCCGTTGTGACCACCACTGTTCCCCATCCTGGCCGGTCGTGGGGCGGCTTCCCCCGAAGCGTGTATGGCAGGTGGGTGGGCATCTGTGCTGAACCAGGTGCTGACCCGGCAGTGGGTCTCCTCTTTGCCAGCACCCTCGGGGCCCTTCGGCACCTCCCCTCCCTGGACGGTGCGCGTGTGTGCTGGGTTCTCTGCTGGAGGCTGGCCAGTCCCCTGCACTTCACCCACCACGGTGGCCCTCCCAGGCGGGGCTCGGTTCTCATCTCGAGTTGCCTGGAGGTCCTCTCAAGTGGGGCAGCCTCCAGCCCTGGGCAGGTGGAGGGGTTGGGAGAGATGTGGCGTCAGTGCCCAGGTGGTCTCTTGCCAGGAAGGACCTGACCCGTAACCAGCAGCTGCTGTAGGAAATGAGGAGGCCAGTGGGCCCACGTGGTCAGCCTGCTCTCCTTGGAGCTTCTGGGGATGCCAGCAGCTGCGTGCCCGTCTCTCTAGGAGCCCCTGCACACTCTGCAGTGGGGAGAGGTCGGGGGCGGGGTCTGCCTCCATCTGCTTGTGCTCCCCAGGTGTCTCCGTTTCTCCTGGGGGAAAACAAGGCAATAAAACTCGCAGCCTGCTCTCCACTTACCAGTTACTAGAACCATAAATACTCTCCGAGGACTTTATTTTTGAAGCCAAAGCAGGTTAATTACTCAGATTGATTCCGGGCTGCTGTAGCAGAAACCCCAAAAGAGGGACTTAACGAATCCATTTGTCTCTCCTCTAACCATCTGAGGAGCCTTTCAGGGTGGGGGCGCCTCTGCTCCCCAACCTGGGAGAGACCCAGGGGAAGAGCCAGAACTGAGGGCCAGAGGTTCCCTCCGGCAGCACTGGCCGTGAGGCCGGGCTGCAGGGGCTACTGGGCCACATCATTTCCAGCTGGACGTCCCCGTCCAGGCTACAGGGCTAACTGGTGGAGGGGCGGGGAGGGGAGTGGATTTTGCTGGGCAGTTAGTGGGCTCTGTCATTGCGGGTCTCCCTGACCAGAGGGGAGAGGTGAGCAGCATGCGCCCACACACGGGCCGTGCAGGCTGTGCGTCCAGCACCCACCGACCGTCCCCCGGGGAGTCTGGGAAAACGTCCTCGAAGCTGACTCCTTACCCAGATGTTTCAGCACTGAGTGTGTGCGTTCTTTCAGCAAAACAAATCACTACTAGAGGCAGGGAGGCCCCTTTCTGCTGGGGCTGAGTTCCCGTGGGGTTACTGAGACAGCATACTGGGTGGTCTCCTCGGGCGGTGGTGGGCAGGTGGCCTGTGTCACGGTCCAGCTGGCGCTGCATGGCCGGGAAGTCCGGTGCCAAGCACGCATGCTCTCTGCGGGCAACCATCCAGCATCCAGGCCGATAGATCTGCGGGAGCCGCCCTCCCTCCCAGCTTCCCACTTCCCTGCCCAGGACAGGCCCAGGCCCAGTCCCAGCGATGCCCCCAGGAGGTGCCTCAGGCCCCGGTGGTGGGAGCCGAGTGTTGAGAACCTGAGGAGAGTCAGGTCTCAGAAGCAGCCATCTCAACCACCTTTGCCAAGTATTTATTGCCGGGACCATAAACCTGCCCGCCCTGTCCTTGGCCAGGGTTGGGATTCTCACCCATATCTGCCCTCAGGACGTGTGGGGGGTGGAAAATCCTCTCAGCTGCCCCTTGGGGCCCAAAGGAGCTGACAGGGGAGTGAGCAGAGGCTCAGGTACCCACCCCCAGCCCCTGGGACGGACAGCGGCCCTCTCCAAACCCGGGACAGTCGTGAACTGAATGACGTGATGTCTGAAGGTGACGGCGCCGCGCTTGCTCCCGCGGTGAGAGCTGGCTGGTAGCGCCGGGCAGGCGTTTCTCCCTGACTCTGTGCGTGGATTTCTTACCTGCCCCCCAAGGTCTCATCAGAGGACTTGTCAGGGTTCGCTAAAGGAACGCTTTATCAAGCACCTACTGTGCGCCAGCACTGTTCTCAGCGCTTGACCTACCGCTCACCCCAGTCCTGCCGGGAGGTGGGAACCCCCTTTGACAGAGGGAGACAGCCGAATGAGGCACTTTTCCCACTGCACCGCACACTGCGTCTTCTAATCCTGGACAAGAGAGATGGGGTAATGGGGCCTGGAGGCTCTGGGATCAGATCTGGGCTTGAATCCCAGCTCCTCCGCTTACTGGCTCTGTGACCTTGAGCAAATGCCTTAACCTCTCTGAACCAGAGTTCCCTTACTGAGGGTAACAGTAACAGTACCTGCTTTTCTTTTTTTTTTTTTTAATTTAAATCTTTATTGTTCAGATTATTACATTTGTTCCTCTTTTTTCCCCCATAACTCCCCTCCTCCCAGTTCCCGCCCCACCCCCGCCCTCACTCCCCATCCACTGTCCTCAT